CGGCAGGTCCGTCTGATGCACCGCGTTGATGCGGTTGCCGGCTTCTTGCTGATTTCGTTTTTTCGTGCTTTTCCTCGTCGTCCTTCGCGCGAGCGGTCGTTTTGTCCAACGCATGCATTTCTTACCGCTCACCCAGCGGCGCCCGCGTCACTTTTCGTTCCGTCCTCCGCTGTCGCTGTGCTCACCCAACAGTACTCCCCTTACGAACCACTTAAGGGACAGGAAGGAACAGCGACCTGAGCCGTCTACACAAATAAGCAACCCGGATAAATTAGGATAGGAAAGATTTCATTGATGTGAATGATGATCTATATTTAAATGCTGGTAAACGTTATTTGTGAACTGCTATGGCTAAATTTTTGGAATTCGTTCGGTAATATATGTTAGTATTAAGAGTTCGTGATAGGGTTCGCGAGTCAAGTCCCCAATGGCTCACAAATCATGGTGGATCCAAAATCGTGGGGGGGAGCATTTGCATATGAATGTCCCGCCGTCCTGAAAATTCGGTCGGGGGGCACTGTCGCCCTCTGTCCGCGCCCCTGGGATTTGCGCGCCCTGGGCTACCTGTATTTGGATGCTGTTTGTTAGCGTTGTATTTTATAATACTAACTACAACCAAGAGGGTAGTAACCAGACTCTGTACCTCTTTGCATAACCGTTCAGTTTACTTTACACGACGACAGCGACAAATCGTTGTGTGTTGCTAAAACCTTTTGTACCGTCCCTCACCATCGACGAACCCTATCAGCCGCTATTTCAACATCAGATCAAACGATACTTTCTGGTGCGCGGATTGTCAAACCACATTTATCGAGAGAGCACGCGCAGGTCGAGGATGACGCCGCGCACGACCGCCATCGAGCAAGTGATTTCGCGTACGAGCCCGAAAGATGAGGGAGGCCGCGAGCGCGATTCTGTCTGTCTACGCGCGGAGAAGACAAGCCTGAGTACCCTATAACTAAAATTGCTCTTTAGATAAAGGCTCCAACATACTTGGAATTCCCAATAATAAAGGCTTGCGACCATCGAGTGTTTTTATGTCAGGTCCTCAGATATTTATTGTAATTATAGTTCGACAGGCAGCTGAAACCAGTGAGTACTAAAATGGTGATTGTGGTAAGCCATCCCAAAAATTATCTGAATTCAGGAAGAAAAGACTGATACAATACAAGCCAAATAGTATAACAAAGACTATGGTTGATATGGTTAACCGGATTCAGTAGCCAGTATGAATTTCTGGTCACCTAACCCCTAACTTTCACGGACCAAGGATGCCTGAACTAATGCATCTTAACTTCCTATACCCTACAACTCAGAAGCGCACCACGCACGCGCACACCGCACGACACACACGCACACACATTGGCCTTTGCAATATCTTTTTTCGGCACAATGTAAGTTTATTGTATATGAGGCTACCTATAAACATTGTGCAATATGCCTAGATAAAACAGTGCATATATATATACGGTGTTAAGCAGGTCTTTTATATTATGCCCAATGTTAACAGTACTCATATGCTAAGCTCAAGTAGTGCCAAACATCACTACCTTTGTAGCAGACATGTGGAGCCTGTGTAAGTTGCGCGTCCATGACTAATCGCCTGGACACAAAACTAAGTGGCTATTATGCTGATATATTTCTCTGTGCGAGACTATAGGATTGATTGCCGCTGCATGGGTTATAGCCGCCATACCTTGAGTGGCTGTTAGCACGCATTGTAAGAGAGTGTTGAGTCGTGCGTTAGAAGACTCGCGTCGTCGTGGCATTGTACCGAGAGGTGTGCCTGCTGAGGTAGCGAGGACGGCGGTCGGAGCTGGAGATGCCTCGGGAAGTGTCTCAAAGCAATCGATGGGCGAACACGAAAACGCAGCATTACAACACATATATACAGGACCAGAGAAAGGCAATCCACCACACGAGGACCAAGCAGATATAGGCTGACCATAACTATCGCGCAGCAGACATATTTTGGACGCTATTTTTTAAAGATTTTGCTTTCTGTTCGTAATCTTCTATTCGAGAGTGAGAGAAGTTTTAGACTTGCGCACTTTCAACAGGGATAGCAATTAAATTCTCATCGTTAACTCGCACGTATGACACAACTCCAGCCTCAGCTAAAGTAAGGGATACTGAATACCACAAAACGGGTGAAAATCCCTTTGAACTAGGGTCAACTAAACTTGCTACTGCAACACAAAGGGAATGTCTGAAGGGTGTTCGGAGCAGGATGCAGAAACGTTGTCCAATGTCGCAGGTTACAGTAGTTCACTTCTACATAAAAAAAAGTGTATAATTTTAGTTCGTAGAAGTATTCTCAATGAATGTCCAAAGGGCGGCACACTAGCATTTTATCCGGGCGATTAAATCAGGCGACGTCTAAAATGCCGGTGAAATCGCCATAGTGTGTCCAGTCAGTACGCCGTGGCCCGATGGGTAGTCGCGCGATTTAATCGCATAGGAGTGCACACCACGTGTACCGTGCACACGCAAGGCCACACTGCACGCACGGCACACGCACGAACCGTGTACCTGCACACGCACATGCCACGCACGCAGGCACGTGTACACGCACGCACTACACCTCATGCACGCACGTCGTACGGTGCAGCAGCGTGATGCAACCGCAAGGTGAACGTGCACACTGCACTTGGGGCACAGCAACGTATTATGTGCGTACGCAACGCGCTCGCCGACACACGTGTATGTGCAGACGCACCGCGGCACACGCCCAACCAACGCACACCACTCACACGCACGGTGTCCGCCGTGCACACGCACTGGCCGCGACGCATGCACGCCAGTGGTACGTGCCCGCACGCGGCTGCGGGAGGGCGACGGGAGGCACGCCAGGCAACGTAACGCACGCACGCACTGCCACGGCAGGGTGGAGTACGTGCGAGCGGAAGGAAAGACACAGGGGGCGAGCGTGAGTAGGTGCATGACGCATCGCCTCGGGCGCGACGCACAGTTGTACGGTGCAGCGAGCAGCAGGGGAGGGCGGAGGAGCACGTGTAAACCTGTTAATCCCTACCACGCACGTACGAGCGGAGCGAGAGCGCAGCGGGAGGGCAAACTGACGTGAAAGATCGCCTCGTGTGTCCAGCCCTAAAACGTTTCGATATTATCGGCGCGATTATTTCAGTCGCACTCACAACGCCTAGTGTGTCCAGCTGCGTCGACTCGCGCGGATCGAATGCGAGCAGATAAGAAGTCGCGCCGACTTAAATCGCCTAGTGTGTCCGGCCCTTAACATACAGCAAGCATGAGTCATCATGCCCCATTTATTGCTTGCTAGAACAGCAGTGTTGGAATAGGTCTAAAAACCTAGCCAGTCCTGATTTCAAACAAATTAATTTCTGCCATATAACCTAAAGTAAAATCTTTGAAAATGAGCAAGGCTTGCTCATATGTTACCTGCCCCAGACTGGAGGGACAGGCTGCTCCTTCCAATACAGATAGTAGTAAACATATAAAACAGTTCTAGTTTATAACACAACTTGATATTTACTTGCCCTCAACACCATAGCACTATGTAAAATGTAACATGCCGACATGAATTGACAAAAACATATAACCTAAACAAAAGATAAACAATCATGTTTTATATTAAAACAAGTGAAAAAAAAATGCAAACTCCCTTCACACACTACGCAACAGGAAAAAACAAAATTGGAATGAAAACAGAATGCATACTAAATACCAATATTTAAATACTAATAGTTGGTTTTGAAAACATGAACTTGTATTTTATGCGATGTTTAAAAGCAAAATTAAAAAATAAGTATGAGCATGCTTAATACAGCATGTATATAGAAATAATATGTTACAGACATTTATCGCTGTAAGCATGGTTCTTGGCCATGAAAGGATGTGCCAGGAAGGTAATTCAATTTGACTAATCTTAATTAATTCCAACATTATCAGATGGAAGAAGATGGAAAAGATTGGTGAACTAAAGCCACATATACTTCATTTGATTCATGTGACACTACAGCTGTAATATATATATATATATGATGCTTTATATATATAAAGCTATATATATGCTATTGTGATGGCACATTCCGAGTAAGATTATTATAAGCGAGTCCGTAGTTAACCAAGGGGTTGTGTGACGTAACAGGTCGCCGGGTCATTTGTGACAAAAATCAGTGAAATCTCGAGTGCGGAGTGCGCTCTCGGTTCAGTAAGTATATGTACATGTATTCCAGGGTGCAAAAATTAAAGGGAGTCCGGAGTCAAATACTCCCTGATTTGACATATGCAGGAGTCCGTGCGACTCCCTGAAAATTCTGCCATACTAACTAGTTCGTTCCGGAGCATGGCCTCGCGGAATTACTGTATTTTTTCAGCTAATGTCCAAAGAAAATTTGGCAGACGTGCAACTGCATGAATCTTAAAAATAAGCACATGCGTTATTGTTAATATTTTTAATTTTGAACCTCAGACTGTGGACTCCCTCTTGAGGGTAGGGAGGCCTTGTTCAAAAGTTAATTTCTACCCCTGTATTCTGTGTACATGCAAAGCCTGTAGCATTACAATGAGACAGATGCATGAGTATGTGTACTGTGCGATCGAAATGTTGTTGTTGATGTTTTCGGTTTCTTTATTTTATACTGGACTTAAGGGTTTAATTCCACATCAGTGGAAACCCACTCCAGGTTATGAAAATATGAAATATGAAAAATGAAAAATGAAAAATGAAATATGAAATATGAAATGTTTTTCAAAAATGACCTAACCCAGAAGAT